TTTGGAGACCATCAGCAGAAGATGACACAGATAAGTTTGCATAAAACAAATAAACGAGGAAAGGGTAATAAGGAACTTTACGTTCCACATCTAACAGTTTAGCCAACCCAACATCATGTAGAATCGTATGAGTGTCATACATGGATAATTGATCATACTTGATATATCTAGTAGGCAGGATTTTCAGTTTGCATAGCTCCCTATATTTCTTAACTAGGGTTTTAAACAGAAGATAATCCTCATAATGGGAGACAGTGATAGATGAGAAACTAGATTCAGGCTTGGATCTCTTCTTAGGAGGCATAATTACAGATAGTAATAACTAGGGTTTTATAGATGCAAGTGAAACAGAAATTGAATTAAAAAACCCTAGATTATGCAATGAAACCCTAATGAAACAAGGAGGATGATGAAAGAGATTACCCAAAAGAGGTGGAGAATAGCCGCGGTCGACCGAAGAAACGCTGCGGGCGACCATGGGAGATTTCCTAATTTTGGGGAAAAATATCGAATGAAATGGAAGATGAAGAGGGTCGGATCTTAGAGAAGAAGAAGGAGCAGCTCAGATCAGATCAGAGAAAGATCAATGGTGGTGGTGAAACGGGTTTAAAAAATTTAACCAAATAAACCGAAACCCGATAACGAAAATGAGCAGAAAACCTAAAGAATCTCTTGCGGTCGACCGTGGTGGTCGACCGTAAAAATTTTTAGAAACATTTACGGTCGACCGTGGCGGTCGACCGCGAGAAAAATAAGGGCATAGTCAGTTTTAAAATCTGGATTTTAGGGAAAATTCAATTTGAAACTTATAGGAATTGTTTTATAAGATATATGAACATATATAAAGTTTTTAGTTATTAAAACATGAAAAAAATATTTTATTTTAACTTAATAAAAAAATAAAATTCATCATTAAAACTCAAAACCCAATTATTCAAAAAACAAAATGAACAAAACAAACAAAAACAAAAAATTGATATAAAAATCATTTTGGTACCCAAATCATTTTGGAACCACTAAAATTTGGGACATGACCCCTATCATTTAAATCCAGGGCCCTAGGGTTATGAACCAGCTTGTGCGTATTTTGTGCATCGATACGATCAAAGCAAAAATTGTAAACATGATCCATACGATTGTAATTTGTGCAATGTAGAGGTTTGAATGATTTACATTGACCGAAATGAAATGCACGTGGTTCATTTGCAAGAATAGATTTTTCTTTGTAATTATTTTACAAACGAGAATTTCTTTTTAAATCGAAACAAAACATGACCAAATGACCAAAACGACCACAATAATCACACTTATACACATGAGCATGTTTGTGATTTACACTATGTGTGTGTACATGTGTATGTGATGAAGAAGCTTGATGGGATGCACAATCATGAATAAGCTTGTCAATTTTTGGTGCATTATGACAAAATTGAGCTAAATGACCTTTAAGACCGCAAATAGAACATTTGTGAATTTTATCATACATATGTGCATAGTGAATAGGTTTCTTAGAAGAATTAACATTGAACTTTGCACATAAGTCCATAAACTTTTTATTATTAGCAATACAAGTGTTTGGTGTTGAATCTAAGGTGGATACACGTTTTCTCATTTGATTCAACTCATCATTGTGCATACAAGCATTGCTACTAGAAGTAGGATAAATAAGATTTTTCATCATAGATTTTAACTTATCTACTTCTAACGTCGTATCACGTTTTTCATGAAGCAAACTAGCATTTTTAATTCTCAATGTTTCATTGCATTCTTTAAGAATTATATTTTTATTTGTAATAAAATTAAACTTAGTGGCTAGTGTTTCATGAGTGGATTTCATATTTACATACTTACTCTTTACATCAATATAGCAATTGTGTAACTTTTCAAACTCAAGAGCAAGTTCATCAAAAGTAATAATATCATCGTTATCAAGATTGCATACCTCACTAGGGTTATCACCTAGTGGTATTGTACATGGAGATGAGACTTCCTTAGAGCTTAAAGCGTGATCTTCCAACGCTTTTTGAATAGCCTCCGAGTCTCCTTCATGTGCTTCAATAAATTTCCATAAGGCGTAAGCACTATCAAAATGAGCAAATTTGTTAGAAAATAAAGAGTGAAAAGCATTAAGCAAATATTCTAACAAAAGCTTGTTCATATTAATAAAGAGTGAAAAGCATTAAGCAAATATTCTAACAAAAGCTTGTTCATATTAAACGATCTTTTATCACTTTCACTCCATTTGGATTTTTTCAAAATCGGAGCAATATAAGCATCCTCAATAATTTCCCATAAATCAAATTGTTTAGATTGAACAAAAAGTTTGAATCTAACACGCCATTAAGCATAGGGGAAATATCCAAACGAGGAGCAACATTAATAGCATAACCTAGACTAGATGTATTATACATATCCATAATGATTATATGCAAGAAGCAAAAAAGCAACCAACACTAGATTAGCACAAAAACGATAACTTGGATCTTTAACTCAAGACGATTAGTCCTTAAATCAAAGACAACACTAGATTAGCACAAAAACGATAACTTGGATCTTTAACTCAAGACGATTAGTCCTTAAATCAAAGAGCACCAAGCTCTGATACCAATTGTTAGACCCTAGAGGGGGGTGATTAGGGTCTTACGCTAATCTAATCCTGATTAAATACAAATTAAAATAATATGGATCAATTTTTTCTTGTAAGAGATAGATATGAATAAGAACGATAAGAAAAAGCACAAAAGAAATATACGCTAAGCAAACATAAACACAAGATATGTTTACGAGGTTCGGTCCCCACGACCTACGTCCCTGCTTCTCACCTCGAGGAGATCTCCACTATCACATTCCGGTTTGGAAGCCGGAACTTCTACACACTCGGTTTACAATATCACTGAAAACTCTCACTTCTACACAATCATACTTTACACACTAAGTATAGGAACCTAGTCCGTGTCCTCCTCCTCAAGTGCTCGGATGCAACCTCTCCCTAGGTTCGTCAATTGACGCCACTCTTATTAGATTTGATCCAGTCTCACGCCTCACACTTCTCTCGGTGTACAAGTATATTACAAGTGATTCTCACAATAAAAGGTAAATACATTGATTTGTTCTCAACAACAAATGAGAACACAAATGAAACTCACACTCGCTAAATCACACCCCACAACCTACATTATATAGTATGAAGATATTAAGCTCAATATGTGTGTGTGATAACAGTGAATAAAAATAATACAACTCAATAAATATAGCTAAATAAATAAAAATAAAATAGTAAGCTATATAAGGAAGAGTTTAGAAAAATTCTCAATAAACAAGAAGAGTAGTAGGCCACTTCTTGTTGTATAAAACTTCTCTTGAAGTAGATAAACGAAAATTAGCTTAACAGCTCTTTAAACACCTCTTAAACCTTTGTTAAAACTTCTTGTCAAAACAAAACTCTTGGTTTTCTTAGTTGCTGAAATAGAAGTGCAATGGGGTATTTATACCCACTCAAGAACTCAGCAAAAACCAACTTGAAAAGACCAAAAACCCCCCAGAGAATCAAATCAGAAACTAGCCGTTGGAATACAATCATGAGTTCGGCGGTCGACCGCGAAGCACAAAAACACTGAGTTTTGAAAATTTGATGCTGGTGGTCGACTGCGGCGGTCGACCACGAAGGTCTCTGGATGAGTCACGGTCGACCGCGAACAATAAAAAGGCAGACTAAGAAAATTTATTCATGGCGATCGACCGTGACGGTCGACCGCAAACAAACATAGTCCGAAACCTGTATTTGGGCCGATTTTGAAAATACTTTAAAAATAGCAAATCAATTCCAAAAATAATAAAACTTTGGAAAAAGTTTCTAAATGATAAAATGAACATGTTAGAAAAGAAATTTTTGGAAAAATAATTTTTTGTTTGCAAAAACACACTGTTTTTTAAAAGTGTTCGTAAAACCTGTATTTTATGACTATGAAAATTTTGATACGACTTATAAACATGTATATATATATATATATATCATGCATATATTATATGTATATAATAAAGTATGAATGAACTGTAAACATGAAATAAAAGATATTGTAACAACGTTTGACAAAAAATCTTTTATATGATAGAAAACGTCAAAAATCGTGTTAAGTGTACATATATTGAGCTTAAATATAAACATACAATATATGTAAGTAAACTACTCTTATACCTAGGTAACTCCACACATATGAACTTGAATCTTTAACGCTTGATTGTCGTGTGTTGAAATACCTGTAAAGAGAAACATAAAAACAAAACTAGAGAATATATTAGCGATAAATTGTTTGACAAATCATCATCAAAACTATAGGGTCAACACCATCAACCTGTGACTCTCCGTGCGTCGGACTCTCTGCCTGAAAAGAGGGGAAAACAACGAGCGTCAAAGCGCTAGCGAGATCATCACTATCTCTCCCCAGGGAAAGGGGTAGGAGTAAATAGAAAAATAGAGTCAGTACATACAAGCATGCGTCCAAGTCTAATATATATTAGGTAAAATAATACTTCTAACCGTTAATTCTTCCAAGACTTTAGGATGGTCTACTAAAAGTTTCATGGCTAATGTCAGTTTTTTAGCCGTGAGGTTGAATATCATCTGTAAAAAAATCAAAACAAAAATATAAAGTTCACATCGAAAGGTACAATTTTAAAGTTTAAGGTTAATGTGTATACAGTTGATATGCCATCTTTGAGCTTGATGCTTGAAAGTCCTGACCACAAACTTAGACTCATGCTAGTAGACTCCTCAACTTATAAAGTTTAAGGTTAACACGTATATAGTTGATATGTCATCTTTGAGTTCAATGCTTGAAAGTCCTGATCACGAACTTATACTCATGCTAGCAGACTTCTCAACGATGCTTATTAGTCACTCTTTGAGGCTTTCAGGGCCAAAGAGTTTAAGAACTAGACTCTTTAGGTATTTGTACAAGAATCCATGTAAAGAGTTTAATACATTTTTTTTAAATATGTAGGAAGATTATGAGTTTCTGCCTATAGATCCTTATTGTCCTCTCAACCTTCGTGCTATACATCGAGGTGTGAGATGAACTTTCCAAGGAAGAGGTGTTCTCAGAGATCGATAAAAAATGGTAGGACGACCTATGCAAGTTTTATTCTACTAATAGCAAGCAGGTATATGGTTAACAAATGATTTAATATTTGGTATGTGCTTTTTGAATCGCAATGTAAATGGTACATTTATGTGCATGCGTAGGCAAAACAAAATAAGGATAATCAGGAGTCAAAGAAGCGAGGTCGTGCAACCTACACGGGTGGCTCGAGGAGCATGGTTCAGGCAAAGCAGAGAATGATAAAATTAATTCTTAGAGTTAAAAAATACATTTCTTAGTTTATGGTACGATATATTATACATATTTATATTTTGGTGAATTATAGAGAGCTCATATTGAAGAATCGGGTGGCATCTCAAGTGCATTAAAGGAGTATTTGGGTACCCACGCGATGTTTGTCGATCCAGCAGCTAATACATATTCATGTACATATATTGACACCCAAACTCAAGAGTATTGTGTAAGTGTTATTTTTTTTTGACTAATTTAAATAATTTTCTTGAATATGTTTAGAATAATATTGTTGACTTAATATATAAATACTTTATGTGGTGTAGGCTCGATGATAGAAAGGGCCAAATCATTAGGGGTCGACCGAGAACACAAATCTACTGCAATGACCATGATCTTAGATGATGTACATGGAGGGCATCAAGGTGGTTATGAAAGCGGCTTGGGTCATGGTGTCACCAAGTTTTATTTGAAGACTTCCTCCACTCTGACCTTCGCTATCCCTCCTAATGTCTTTCGTGAGATGGCAGAGCTTAAGTTCAAGATAGAACGACTAACCCAAATTTTATGTATAGAAGTTGTTATTCATCTATATCTGTTATGCATCATAATGCACACACTGTATGCACATTTATAGTTGCGAAAATCCTACATATAGGAGCTGAACTCCAACCTCATCAACTGAAAAATATGTTCTAGGTATCCAAATTTCATGTTCTATTTATATTAAATAGCCTAAAAAACCATAAGATTTGAAAATAATTTACCCATTCAACACCTTAAAGAATGAATGATAAGAATAAGATTTCGACAAAATTATAATGTGAAGCTTCAAATTCTGAAAATACTTTTCTTAGTACTGTGTTTGATGACATGATTATATGAGAAAATTCACTGTCCGATGGAAGTGTCCTGTAGTTTTGTTTCTACTGCCTTGAATTTGTAGTTTATACCCACTTAATGATTCGGCCCATATCCAAGGAAGCGAGATACAATGAAAAAACTCTCCTTAGAAATTGGGATGTATGTTGCTTTTAAAGTGAAAAAAGTTGGAGGTCTAAAACTTTGCTCATTATCCTTACTTTCAATTGAAGGTATACAATGATGATGACGCAAGATTTTTTCATTCGATTGCATGATCTTATGCAGGCCGTTTAAGGCATTATCAATTAGTTGAACTTGTTCTCATGTCAGTTATTGTGACACCCCTGGTTTCACACTTTACTGTAGTCTAAGATGAACCAAAAAATATCAAACCTACCATGCACTCAGCACTGTGCATAAACATGTTTAACCATCACATTAATATCACTCTAGCAGATGTCAAATAATAAGAAGTGATGGTACAAGTAGGTGTAACAAAGATGATAATACAAGAAGTAAAAATATAAAGAAGAGATATCCAACAACATCTATAAATCTGTCTCAACAGAGAAAAAATAAGAACAACTAAAAATCTGAGATGATAACAATGAGTCTCTAAAACAAAAGAGTCAACTGAACAGTACAAAGGCACTCAGCCTCCAAAATAAAATGCATCTCTACAAGACTTAAAACAGTAAATAAACTACTACGGAGCACTAAATAACTATCTATGAATGACGGTAACTATGCCTAGTCTCCGTCAATCTACGGCTCTCCGAACCCCTAACCCGCTACCTAAAAAAGATGGAATCAACGAGCATCAGAGCGCTAGCAAGAACATCTCCACCACCCCCAGGGGGAAGGGGTTAGGTGTATAAAATACTAATCATAGCATAATATATATATATATATATATATATATATATATAGGTGAAAACTTGTGTCAACTTAAGTGGATAGGGAATAGTGTGTCCACCAAAGTTTTTAACCACTCATATTGCCTAGGGATCCTTGTATTATATAAAAAGAGTGTTTTATATAATGAAATGTGTGCAGAACTTGGACATCAAACTTAATTGATAGGAGTCTTGCTACTCTCTCTCTATCTCTCTCTCTCTCTCTCTCTATAATTAATTATATAATATATATATATATAATATTATATATATATATATATATATTATATATATATATATATATATATAATATAAGAGAAGAGAGAGAGAGAGGAGAGAGAGAAATGAGTATGCTTGGTACCGCAACAAAAATTTTGTGGGCTTGTAGTGAGGTGTCTCTTTTCCATCCACTCATTTAATTGTGAGACCACATTCAAACCATGGTGAATGTGGTCCCACCAATTTGAATAGATGGAGGCATAATATGCACCATCACTATCAAGCATACCATAATCCTCATATATATATATATATATATATATATATATATTATATATATAATATAATATATATAGTTATATAAATAATATATATATATATAATATCAATATATACATTAGTACCATTGAAACTAAGTGGATGTTAGAAATTTTATAAATCCACAACACGAGATAAGTACGTTGATCGAATAATCCAAATAAGGAAACTCTCATATATATATACCATGCATCTCAATTTGTGAATCGCTAAATATCAACTCCAAAACCTATGAACAAGTAATACAGAAAATACATCATCAACATGTCATCCAGGATATGCCATAATGTCATATATGTCAATCACAATATCTCACACTACCCTCGGGAAGGTGGCATGGAAACAAAAATAAAATCCTCGTCAAAAGTGTGTATCGTCACATATGAATGTCACAATATTGGACTACGTTCACAAATAGTACTCGCCTGAGTCCTAGGCGTCCTAAAGAAGTAGATTGTATTAGTCATCCGTAGTACCATGCGGCTCACGGACTAACGCACTCGGAGTGTAGTCGCCCACAATATCATGCGGTGCACGGACATGTGCACTCAACCACTAAAACAATGATGCATCACAGAGTGTAGTCGTCCATGTTCTCATGTAGTTCACAGACTAATGCACTCAGAGTGTAGTCGCCCACGTTCTCATGCGGTGCACGGACTAATATACTCAAGCATCCAAAACAATCGAAAGCTGAAACAATCATCACTCACTATCGTGACAAACACAAAACACTAAGCTACGCACTCGCAAAGGCTTGTGTGTACTCAAACCTAATTCGTGCACTCCCATGGTCACAAACGCGTATCGACATGCAGCTCATTCTACGTGTTACGACCAAACATACTTGGAAAAATATCATAAGTAGAAGTAGCAGATCAGTCGACTGCTCATGGGAATCAGTCGATTGACATTTGATCAATTGATTGATTGCCCACCAGTTGACCAAACACGAACGTGCAAAAACGTGCACCAACATCCAACCTCGATCGGTCGATCGATACATATATCGGTCGACCGATCAGAGAGGAACCCTAGTTCCTATAGACTAATCGGTCGACCGATTTCATATATCAGTCGACCGACCAGAACACTGAAACAAATATTCATCAAATTTCTAAAGTTAAGTGTTTTTCTCAAAAACTCGTGAATTCTTGACATGGGGATGGGGGTGTGAAACATGATTCAAATCTTTCATTTGCTTAAGTGGGAAAATTGGCCTAACTAGTATACATCAACAACACACACAGATTTGGGTTCAATTTTCCCTAGTAATGAACTTTTCAGATTTAACTTGATTAATTAGGGTTCTAATCCTAATTAATTCATTAATTAACACATAATTAGGTTTCTAATTATCAAAATCATGTCTTTTATTGTTTAGTAAATAGATCTAAAGTTCTACTAATGAATTTTAGGGTTTAAACCATTAAAACGAAAATCTAAGGGGATGAGTTTGGGAAGAGATGAACTTGTCTTTCAAATTCATGTTGATCTCTCAAACATGAGAAATACTTGATCTTCCTTCGCAATGGTTGTAGATCTCGCCCTCCTCTTGAACTTTGCTTCATAAAAGTTTCTCCAAAAATAAAATTGGTGTTTCTAGGGGTTTAAGAGGGGGTGACCGCTGCTCAAATGTGCAGAGATGAAAGGAAAAGAGATAGGAAATTCGGATATATATATATTATATATATAATATATAATATATATATATATATATATATATATAATAATATATATATATGAGACTGACGCCGACCCGAACCCATACAAAATCTCCTAGCTGCCTAGGGTTGACTGCTCATATGGTCATGTCGACGACCCGACACTGAAGCAAACATCGACAGGTTTTTTATAATAATTGATGCACAGTTACAACACACACACACACAACATATATATATATACTATATATATATATAAAATATATATATATATATATATATATATATATATATACTATATATATATATATGATATATAATATATATATATATGTAAATGCAGATACGATTCATCCCAGAATGATTAACAACAATAACAAAACTATATTATTATTATTTACAATAATTTTTTTTTAAATTTTTGGGGTTTTACAGTTATTGCGATGAAGTTTTGCACCAGGCATAAAGATATTCATTGATGATGCAAGTCTTTTTGTTTGGTTAGTTGACTTTGTGAATTGATTTGTTTGTGCAGTATGGCAAGTTTAGACTAAGCACATGTTATTTGTATTTGGTCAGTCTTCTGGCATTTGTTATTTATGGGCTCATTAGGAACATCGTAAGTTTGTAACACATAATTTGCCCTTTTGGAAAGTGACTAGGTTTTCTAACACTAATACTTTACCCTCTATTGAAAGTACATATACACATAAACAATCATAGAAAAACCCCTTAAAGAAATGCTCAATAATATCTCACCTCCTTACACACTTACTATGTACACCTGTACTACTTTACGGCCCTGTTTGGCAAAGGGTTAATGAAGAGGGGTTAAAGAGAAGGATTAATGTACTTAGCCCATTTGATAATCCGAAGGACTAAATTATTAACCCGTTAAATAAGTTTTATTTTAGCCCTTATGATCAGTTTTAGTGTTTGGGAATAACAATGATTTTAAATATTTTCTTTATAATTAGAAGGGTTAGTGTTTGGGAATAACAATGATTTTAACTATTTTCTTTATAATTAGAAGGGTTAACTCTTATTCCATCTAAATAAGAGTATTAGTAAACCCCTCATTTTGAGGGGTTAACTCATTTTAACCCCTCTAGAGGGGTTAACTTAACCCTTCTATATTTTTTATATTTGGCAAATTATGAAGGCTTAACTCACTTTAACCCTTATATAGATTTGTTGTGTTTGGCAGGTTAAGAAGGGGTTAAGTCTCCTTAACCCCTCACTTAACCCTTTGTCAAACGGTACCTACAGGTTGATTATCATACTGCTCCTCCACCTTCTGCTATTCTGGCTACTATATGGGCTTTTGCTTAGCCTTCTCCAGATGCTTAGAGTTCTACTTCTACTGCTCAACATTCTCTTCAGAATATTTCAACACAAAATCCTCTTTGCAAGTCGACTAGGGGGCTTGTTAAGGGACTTAATGCAGGAGGGCTACGGTGAGGAGGATATGCGCAAGGCTTTTGTTGATTTCCTTCTATTCAATCAGCAATGATTTTTATTTTTTTAGATTTTTGAGACATTGTACATTTTGGATACTCTTTATGTTTGTGATTTAATTGTTTAAAAATTACTACTCGCATTGCATTTTAGTAAATCTTTTGTTCTGGCTTGTAATTGTGTGTGGTTTTAGGATTTTGAATCCATTTTATGACATATTTATGTTTTCAGTTGTATAATTGCTGGGAATATTGTTGTGAACAAGTTGATTATATATATTGGGGTATGAACATGAGTACGCACTACA